TTTCTATATAAACAAGTTAAATATAATTTTCGAATCTGTATTGTTTTTCTATTGGCGTGCTGGCTCATAATTTGCATCATATATGACTCCTAAAAGACTAATATGTATAGAAGTAAAAAATTTTGTATATATTTGAAACTCATATTTCTTACCTCATATGTTCTGATCGCTCAAAATATGTTTGCGGGGTAGTAGGTATGTGAATTAAATGTGTTCTCTTTCTTCAATTATCTATACTTATACATACATAAATATGTATGTATTACGTTTAGAATTTAAATTCAATTTTTTTCGTTTATCAAGCATTCTACAATGCCCGTAAAGATTACCGTACGCTCCACCCTGCAGAAAAAAATTATCAATTGATAAAAAATAACCTACTTGTAGTTAGCTTTTTTGCGGAATTTCTATAAAATATATAACTTGCAGTTAGCTACAAAAAGCTAACTTGAAACAAGTGGACAAGTAATGCAGGAGTAAAGCTAGAGATTTTTTTTTTTTTTAACGCGTTTCTATTGAAATATCCTGCACTTCGCAAATACTTTTTCGAATTGAGGACAAATAAAAGGAAGATCGAAATTTCATATTATCATTTTGAAGTTATGGCTGACGGAGTTCGAATATGGGACCACCTACAGCAGAATATGGAAGCAAATATGAAATGTAATAAAATAAATAAAGTAAATAAAAATATAAAAATAATTTGTTTTTTCTATTGATATTTTATGTCCAAAAGTAGCTAGTTACAAGTAAGTTACATCAAATGCAGGGGTAACCACCATTGACTGCGTCTAATGCAGAGGTAAATCACCCTTGACTATTTTGCGGCCATCGCCATAGAAACATAGTTAGTTTTCTTCAAAGAAAATATACAGATAATAAGTGACTTGTAGCTCCTTCGTAATCAACTTAAAGTTAGCTTATAGTTAGATACATTTCCGGCAGGGCATTGTCTACATTTCTGCCTATATTCAGGCACACATATGTCTATGTATTAGGGTGGTACAAAAACAGTAAAGTCGGAATTTTAATGCTCTCACCCCTACCTACCTAAATTGCATAGGGTGGTCCATCCGACCTTGTTTATTTTTTTTAATTTTTACTGTCGGAATCTTTATTATCTTCTGGAAGAAGAATCTCTGCCATTTATTTCTTAAAAATAATTTTATTCAACTGTTTGCCGTACACAAAACATAACCGTGAATAATGAGCGCTACCGCACCATGATAACTGCCTTTTTGTTACCTGAATTAAAGCAAGTGATGTCGGTAATATTTGGTTTCGGCAAGTTATCGTGTGATACAACACCTATGGATTTTTATCTTTGGGATTATGTGAAGTCAGAAGTCTTCGTCGATAAGCCAGCTAGAATTCAAAACTTTTAAGCCATGGCTCGCGTAATTCGAGCCATGATGAAAAGGGTAATTGAAAATTGGACCTTCCAAATGGACCACCTACAGCGTAGTCGCGGGCAGCATTTGAATGAAATTCAGTTGATAATGAAGATTCGGACATCCACTTGTGTTTTAAGTGTTTAATTCTAAATTCAGAAACCAAGGTCTAGATGGATCACCCTACATATACAAATGTGTACAAGTACTTAGCGTATAAATAAATACATATCGCACACACGGTTGGGTTCAAAATATTGGAAGTGATACCATTAAATGAAGTAAAATTTAAACTACGAGTAATTGATATGTGTAGCTATCAAATAAACGTAGCCCGTATAGTAGAAGATAACTTTAAATATTTTTGATTTAATTGTAAACATAGGGATGCACATTCATAGTCTAGATAAAGTCGACGCTAAAGTTAAGAGCGTGTCAGACGTGGCAATATATTTCGTTGCAATAAATTTCGGAAAGGCTGTCAAATTGAGAAATCAGTTGCATGAGTAGTCACACCTTGCATGGAAAGTGTCTTTCGAAAGAGGTTTTTATTTCCGAAAGGCGAATTGCTGGAATGATTTCTGAAATCGCTTTTGGGCTGTTCACACAGCGAATGAGTTTCTGGCAATCTTTCTCGATACTAAAATGCAACCATGGGCGATGGGGTTGTCGTTTGTTTGCTATTTCTCTTGTAAAAGCCAAAAAATATAGGTTATAATTAACATATTTGCCGTGTGAACAATAATTTAACGATTAAGTATATTAAGCAAAATAATATATTTCAAGCATTTTTGATATTTAATTCAACAATATTTTATATCATTTTACACAAATTCACGATCAGTGCCACACGGCAACACTCGATTAGTTTGACAGCACTTGCAGAAGAAATAAAAATTGCTAGTGCAGCACGAGCAAGTTGAAATATATTTCCGAAATCGATTTTCGCTCTTGCAGTTGCAGTCACACCTTGCAACTTTTATTTCTAAACTAATATCCGAAAAGTGACAGAAAGATCTTTCTGGCTGTTCACACATCGAAATAAAATTTCTCTTTCTCAATTTGACAGCGAATTGCGTGCGAAAGACTGAAATATTGCCACGTCTGACAGGCTCTTTAGTTGCAGCTTTTTTGACAGATATTATTTACATTGAAAGTTATGTCTAAAAGCAGCCACTAACTTTAGAGTCGACTTTGTTTTGACTATGAATATGCCCAAGTATGTATATATTTGGAAGTAGAAGGCTAACAAGTTCTGTCAACAGTATTGTCGAAAATGTACAGATGAAGTTTTGAAATCCATCAGCAGTCGTGTTGATGAGTATGTATTAATGTATGTGTTTGGTACTATAATTTTAATAGGAGTGTGGAAAAAGAGGTGCATGTATATTTCTCTTGTAAAAGAAAGAGGCTTTTGCTAAGTTAAAGAACATTGCGGTGTCCTATTATTTTAAGCACGACTGTTTGTGTTTGGCTGATATGTCCCACACGTTCTTCAAGAGCGTGTTAACTTGAAATTCAGCGTTTGTCAAAAAATGCAAAAACCTCATTCAGAAATCAAGTTCCTCATTTGCATAATCGAAGCGTTACAATCGTTTTTTTTTGGAACTAGTAATTACTAATTGTTTCAGCTTCTGCTGTAAGATAAATATACGATCTGTGAACATTTTTAGTGCGTAATATCAATAATTATAAATTTGAAACTAATATGTTTTTATAGAACATCTGCGATTGGTTATGTTAATAAACAAATTGAAAACCTTTTTAATTGTTGATATTCACATTTTCATACACAAAAGTATGTGTGTACATACATACCCTGCAGAAAAATGATATCAATTGATAAAAAAAAATCAACTCGTAGTTAGTTTTTTGAGGTATTTCGATAAATGTCTCACTTTTAATTACCCAACAAGATTTTTAAAGTGAGCTTCTCTCAAAAGTAAAGCAGACCTGTTAAATAATGATTAATAATCATAATGATTATTAATTAAAGCATGTTTTTTGGGGTATTAATGATTAAATACCATTATTTGCAAAAAAAAAAAAATTAATAATAATTAAATAATAAAAAAAAATTTGACTAAATTAGATTTTTTTTAATGGCAAATAATCATGATTTTTTTTGATAAATTTACTATTAATTATTAATTGCGGGGTTAAGTAAAAAAATTAAAATAATTTTTAAAATGAAAAAATGCTAAAAATTAATGATTACTAATCGTAATGGAAATTTAACAGCTCTGAAGTAAAGTAACAAAATAATTTTTATTTATTTCTAGCAATGCTCAGAAATAAATATCAATTTGAGCACCTAGTTACATAAAATATTTTATTTTGAAAAAAAAAGTTAATTTACATACATACCAAGGCGAATTCATATAAGGCGTTAGCGGTAGTACAAAGACAAAAACTTTCATGTATTTTCTTTTCGCTTGCGGTACACAAATGTAAAATTACAGCTATTCTTCGCTCAAGGAGGAAGCGGGAAAGGAAATTCCAACACTCTCACTTTCGCACTCTATTAGAAGAAGTTTTGACATCTGTGTACCAAGGCGAATTAAAGCAGCTGTTCTAGCAACACCACCTAATATGAAGTCGCCTTGATACATACACATAATACACTGGCTATCAAAACCGAGTGCATGTACGACATTTTATTACTTACCGTATCATAACTTTTTTAATAATAAGCGAATTGCTTTGAAAATTTCAGCAATTGGTCATTATTATCCAAAGAATATATAAAATTTAGTACACAGAAAAACTAAACTTAAACAAGAAACAAGCGATCCATAGCAAAAACGCAAGGAAGTTTTCTATTTTGATATTTTAGAAGGTTGATATCAACAGGTTTGTGGAGACTCCCGGTCATTTTGAAATCAGTACCGCGGGTTCCAATATCCCGTGCCCATCTCTAATCGGGAGTTTGTTTTCTTTAAACAAGTTTCTACTTTAATATCCTCATACAAACATTAGTTTGAATACACTTTTTTTGTACTTCACAATGCATTTTCGAATTCCAGACAAATGAAACGAAGATCGAAATTTTATACATTACACATTATGTCATCAAATCTGCGGATAGTTCACAATAATATAAGATAATAAAGGCCTTTAGTTTCCCCCTAATCAATTTCAAGTTAACTTAAAGTTAGATATATTTCCTGCAGGGTACATACGCGCACCTACATACGTACGTATGTATCTCTATAGATAATTTACTATCAAAATAATAATAGATTGGCGCTTACGCAATATGCTTATTTTTGGCCGAGTTTCTCCTCCGATTTGTGAAGTGCGTCTCAATGTTGCCCCACAAAGGATAGGGATCCACAGTTTTACGCCGACTCCGAATGGCGATTGTATTTCTATGAGAAGCTGTATTTCATGGTTGAATACACCGGAGGTTTGCCACCACCTGCCGAAGGGCGACCGTTATTTAAAAAATAATAATTTTTTGTTGATGTTGGTTGGAAACTGGGCTCGAACCCAGGCCCTACGTAACGGTGGCGCGCACTGCTAACCACGATGCCACAGAGGCCGCCAATTTTTTTTATATACAGACTGATATAAAAGAGAAGTTCTAATAGGCAAAACTGTAAGTTGTTGTTCACCATTTCAACATATCACGTTCAATAGAATTCGTCGCAAAAGTATGGAACGTTGGCAAAATCGCGTAGCTGTTGTCACCGGCGCTAGTTCTGGTATCGGTGCGGCTTGTGTGAAATATCTCGCCAATAATGGAATGGTTGTAGTTGGTCTGGCACGACGCAAGGAGCGCATTGACGCACTGAAGGATCAAGTAGAACCATCAGCGCGCGATCGCGTCCATGCAATCAAGTGTGATTTGCAGGACGAGCAACAGATTATTGCCGCATTCAAAGAAATCGAGTCCAAGTATGGACCTGTTGCAGTGCTTGTGAATAATGCGGGCATTGTGCGTGGAATTAATCTGGTGGACGAGAACAACTCGCTGGATATACGTGCTGTCATAAACACCAATGTGTTGGGTGTGGCTGATTGTACCAGGGAGGCTTTCCGTTCCATGAAAGTCAGTGGGGATGGCCATGTCTTTATTATCAACAGCATTGCTGGTCATTCTGTGCCAAGGATACCAAATACTTCTCTTAATATTTACCCACCTTCAAAGCACGCTGTAACGGCAATGACTGAGATCTATCGACAAGAATTTTTCAACCTAAATACAAAAGTTAAAGTGACGGTTGGTTGAAAATGAACTGCAAATATTGCAATTGTTTTTTTATAATGGAAATGTAAAAAATTTTATTTGCAGAGCATAAGTCCTGGCGGGGTTGACACGGAAATAATAACCGAAGAAATGAGAGTGAATTTGGAAAACGCGCCGCTTTTGAAAAGCGAAGATGTTGCCGATGCTTTACTTTATTGCTTGCAGACGCCACCTCATGTACAGGTTCGTTGTACTTGCTTATATTTATGATAACACAACATACATACATATGTATGTACAAATCTATATATATTTCCAGATACATGAGCTGACTATTAAACCAGTAGGAGAATTGTTTTAAATTAATGCATTTGTCGATCTGGTGCGGAGGTTAATATTAAATGTACATATTGTAAAAGAATGAAAATGTAAATGAAAGTTCATAATATGTTTGCTGTAATGATAAGGAAGTTCCCTTTTTTAACAATCTATGTAGAAATAAAGTTTGCGTTTTTTTGATAAAACATACAATCATGTACTAATCAGTGTTATATTAATAAACAAAGACTGATGTAGATTGCAGAATTTCTTTCAATGTATATTGAAGGTGTTTATTTCCCTTGTGCGCGCTGGGTATCTCTTGATGCCAGGCTACATATGTACATACATATTTCTTTTCCTCCACTTTCTTTAGCCAATAGCACATAAAAGTATCATCCGCATGAACTTACGCAAGGCTATATTGATGAAACATACCACCCAGTTGTTTTTAATTTTTTTTCATACATATAAACTAAACTAGTTATTGTACGATATTATAAAAACTAGCTAATGCCCGCTTGCTTCGCAGCGCCTAATAAGATCTTTTGCAATGGCCAATACAAAAATAGCGTTTAAAAGCAAAAGCGGTCTGTAAAGTAAACATTTTTAGTTTAAATTCAAACGAATAGAGAGCAGAATCCTCCTCATACATCGGCCAAGAATAGTAGCGCTGTGATACCTTATGGAATGCTAATCCATTTCAATGTCATGAGTTTTAACGATGGTCTTATTTCCACCTGTGAGATCTCTGCCAAGCGCACGTAATATTCTTCTGTGATCTTGCAACTTCAACGTTGGTCGTAAACCAGTTTTCAGTTATAGGAGGGCCAAGAAAATCCCAGAATGAAAAGTTTTCCCGTACATTGACTTAATGTGTAGTGTGATCTCTTAAACATCGTTGAAATGAAGCCATTTATTGTCTAGTAGGCCATAATAGGATCATATATGTAAGGTATAACCTCCGACAATTTGACTGGTTTTTGAGTTTAGGCCGAACAACGAAAACGGCTTTCATTTTATGTATGTATGTACATTAGAGTCGTCCAAAAAAAATTTTCCAAGACAGGGTTTGGGGCACCTTCCAAAGTTTTTCTTTTTGCCGAAAGAGGTGCTGGTACCAAACTTTACGTTTCTATGTATACATTTAGAAGATGCTCATGATGCACATATTTTACTCTAGAAGTATTGTGTATCTATATATTAATACGCTAACATCAATTTTGTCTCCGTTCGTTTGGCGATTCTACGAACCGACACCAAGAACACCGTTGGAAAGGCATTTTTCCGTAGATGAGCAGAGTTTTTATGGTTTCAAAATTGGTTGAAAATTACGGCCAAAACCGTCGTTTAAACATTTTCGTATTTGTGTATAGATTTTGCTGCAACAGTTTCAATTTGACATGTTTCGCATGTTGTTTCACTTAACATTTGAAATTAAGCTTTGAAATAAAGATAAATATGAAGATGAAGATGGAGAAATAAATGATAACGATGAAATCATAAAAAAAGGCACAAGTGAAGATACAATGACAGATACATAAGAATTAGGGTAACTGAAAGGGTAAGAACATTTCTTGAATTTATGAAGTAAACTTCTTTAGCGGCAGTTGGTTGGTTGGGAGTAAATTGTCAAATTCAAGGGGAATAATGCACATGGAAATGGTTCTAGCTTTTTAGTGGTTTGAGAATAAAAACAAAAACAAAGATGCCTAGAGGTACAGGCAAAAGCGAAGACCAAAGTAAATTTAAACACTTTAAGGTAAAGGTGAAGATGAATATGCAAAAATAAAGATAAATATGAAGGAAAGGATGAGGATGAAGATCGATATTGTTATCGATATAAAACCGGATGTTTTTATCGATATAATAATCGATATTGCTATCGATAAAATAACCGATGTTGTTATCGATACTGTTATTGATTAAATAACCGCTATTGTAATCGATATAATAATCAATATAATAATCTATATTGTTATCCATACAATAATGGATATTGTTATCGGTATAATAATCGATTAAATAATTATTTTGTTATCGATTTAGTAATTTATATTGTTATCGATATGTACAATAATCGATACTGATGATTGTTATATTTATCGATGAATCGATCGACTTTGCAATCGTATTTTTCTATATGTTTATGGATATTGTTATCGGTATTTTTATCGACACAGTTATCAACAGGGTTATCGATATAATAATCGGAACATTTAATGTGATCACATTAAATGACATCACATCACATTATATCACATGATATGAAGAGACATCACATAATATGATATCACATCACACGATAGCACGTGACATGACAATATATGATATGACATCACATTATATGACATGACATCGCATGACTTGACATCACATGATATGACATCGTATGACATGACATCGCATTACATGACGTGGCATCACATGATATGACATCATATGGTATGACATCAGAGGATATGACAACACATGACATGACATCCTATCCATCACATAAAATCACGTCACATCTTATCACGTCATCGCACCTCATCTCATCTACGTGAAGAGAAAAAGAAAGGGAATAAGCAAGGCAAATTTACCGATTTCAAAACCAAAAACACCGTTGGAAAGGTAATTTTCTGTAGATGAGGAGAGATTTTATAGTTTCGAAATTGGTTGAAAATCGTCGTTTAAAAATGTCCATATTTGTATAGAGTTGTTTTTGCAACCTGTTCAATTTAAGCTGTTTCGCATTTTCTTTTACTTCGTATTTGAAATTAAACTTTGAAATTAAGATAAATATGAAGATGAAGAAACAAGTGATAACGATGAAGACAAAAAAGGCAAAAGTGAAGATAAAGATACGAAAATGGAGATAAAGACGAAAATGGAGAAAATGAGAAATACATAAGAATTAGGGTAAAAGAGTTGAAATTTTCCGATAGGAATCGAAATAAAATCAGCCATAAAGGTTACTGCAATTAATCGAATCATCGAAGTTTATACTTATGGAAATTTATCTATCTTATTAAGTTATCGCAATGTATCGAATTATTCAAACTGATCAATGTTTATTGAGTTGTCGAAATTTATAGATACAGAAACTTAGTTGTCCAAATTTAAATAAGACGTGTGGGATTAACGAAATTGTCAAGTTCATTTCTTTAACTTCAAGTTATCGATATTTATTGAATTATCATCATTTATAGACTTAACGAAATTTATCGAGGTGTCGTAATGCATGGAGTTCTTTCAACTTACAGAGTTATGGATAATTATTGATCTACTGAAATTGGTTGGTTCAACGAATCGAAGTTTATGGAATTTTCAAAATATATCGATTTATCGAAATTTCAACGTTATATAAACTTAACGATTTATCACTGCTTATCGAATTTTATCGTGTTAACAGAGTGTAATGAGTTATCAAAATGTTTAGATAGTTTTCGAAAAATGTGGAGCTGTCAAAAGTAAAAATTTATAAAGGTGTCCAAAGAATTTACATTTTTGAGTTATCGAAATTTATCGAGCCCTCGAATTTCACGGTTATCGAAATTGGTCGAGTTAACGAATTTTGTTGAGTTATCGGAAGGTGTTAAGTTAGAAAACCTCTCCAAGTCTTCTAAAACTAGAAAAACTGTCGAATTTCGACAGTAACTGGCACTCTAGTATATATTAATCAAAGAATTTATTAAGTAACCTAAGAACATTTCATACTCAAATTATCTAAAAAAATATCACAAGTCTCAGTTGTCATGGCAACAGTACCTTTTTATAAAAATCACCAATATTTTTGTCAGTTTCGCAGCGATTCGGCAGCGCATTTCAAGGTCATTGAGCACCCTGTATTAGTTGCAGTAGAAAACTGAAAGTTGGTATAGATATTACAAATATTAAAAGGAAACAAGTAAGAAAGTCTAAGTTCGGGCGGAGCCGAACATTAAATACCCGGCGTAAATATTAAATATATGTTTTTTCACCTTTCCGAAACCTACCGCTAGATGGTAAGCCGGGGTGTATCAATTTTGAGTAAATTAGCGTCCTTCAATTTCGAAATATTGAAGTTTCAAGCATTTCTGAAATTTACCGTTATATGAAAAGCGGCCCTAATTTTAGTCCGATTTCAATAATTTTCAACGCTTTGCTTTCATGTGGCAAGCACAATAACCACACCGAGTTTGGTACAAATTGGTAGAACGGTTACCGATATACATATATGTGATCATAAGTGGGCGGTGCCCCGCCCATTTTCCAAAATTTTACCATAAACGTATTTCTTGGTAGAGAGCTGTTGCAAG